CGGGCGGTCGTGCCGGACACGCCCCGCAGTCTGGCTGCGGTTTCCGCGCCGCCCCTGCGCGTCCGCCGCTCCGCGGAGGCCCAGCTGCGGTCTCGCAGTCCGTCGGGGACTCCAGGCTCTTGGGGGTGTCGGCCAAGTCCATGGGAGGCCTGCCTCCGGACACCCTGGTGGCCGCGGCAGGCCCGGGCTTCCTGGGCCCAGGAGTCCGGCCAGCGCGGAAACACCCCCAGGAGCTGGGGACACCGCCTTTTGGCGCCCGCCCCCCACCCCCAGCCACGGCAGGCGCGCCAGCTGGCCCCGCTCACCCTGCCCACGGCGCCCGAGCTCGGTGCCCCGTGGCCTTCGGGGCTCCCGCCCGTCCCCTGCCAGCCCCCCGGGGCAGGTTGGGCCAAGGGCTCACGCCCGCCACAGGGTGAGTCTCAGCACCGTGAGGCTGTCCGCAGCGGCCAGTCTGACCCATCTCAGCCAGGGAGTGACCACAGGGCTCGGGAGACCCCGCCCCACTCCCCGCTACCCCCTCAGCAGTGTCTCAGTGGATCCGCCCGTTCTGCTCCCTAATGTTTGGGGGGAGTCCTCACCCCACACCTCTGGCCTGCACCCCAATTCTTGTATGATAAATACAAATACATTTTAAAGAAAGTAATGCTCACATGGGCCTGTCCCTGGGGCCTGGGGTGAGCACGGGGCCAGAGCTGCCTCTGCACCCTCAGAGAGGTGGGGTGGGCAGGTGGGCAGATGGGGAGGGGCGGAGCCGGCCAAAGGGCGGAGGCGAGGCCTGGCGGGGCTCCCTTGGGCCGCCCAGGAAGGCGGGTGTCCAGGCCAGTCTGGGGCAGGAGGGGGCACAGGAGTGCGAGACGCAGGGTCGCAGGCGGCAGTGGGGTCTGCTCAGGCCTGTCCAGGCTCTGGCAGCGGGTGGGAAAGCCTTGCTGCAGAGGGGACGGTCCTGGGGCAGCAGCACTGCCCCCAGGGCCCCCAGGATGATGCAGGACAGAACCAGCAGCCGCCAGCCGGCCCAGTCGGGCTCCGCTGGAGGGCGACTCGGCGGGGCACAGGCCCGCCCTTCACCCTCCGTCTGGGCTCACGGGAGGCCAGGGCCGGGCCGGGCGGGGG